GGGGGGGGGGGGGGGGGGGGGGGGGGGGACGACTTAGATTTTGGAGACTGTCCATTGTTCATTAAATTTATTGTAACATAATACCAAAAACTGCCATTTTTCATGATTCCCCACCTAATTTTTTTCCTCAATTTGTAAATAATACCTCCTAGAAAATAAGCATTAATTGGAATGTGTCAACTGATTTTAATTTTATCATCAGCTACTAGTGAACTCTTCTTATAGAAATGTACATTTGAGATAAAATACTAGCTTGTGCAAAGTGTTGTAAAAACATGGTTTACTGTTTTAAAGGAAAATTGCACATTATGTTTAACTGGGATTGCTCCGTCCCTCCATTTCTTTAAAAAACAGTCAAGGCTCACACTGACTTCTAGGCTGTGTGAGCTTTGCCATAAATAGTAAATAGATACAATTTAGGGAAATATACTTTTTTAAAGCATGAAAAAAGACAAAAGGAACTGCATTATAAAATACTGGATAGAGACTTATTCAAAGGATTATGCACAGCTTATTGAAGATGAAATTACGATTTTTCTTTCAGCTTCGTTACTATTTTCTTCTGCATAAATGTACACTCTCATTTCATTATGTGCCTTGCTCCCTGATTGTGCAAAGCTATAAATATAGAGATATATATATATGAGAGAGAGATATTCAGTACTACTGACCATGTTTCTGATCTACTGCTGGATTAAGTTATTTTCCAAGTTACTCTTGCCAGTTACTGTCAGTAAACTGTTGTAATGGCTTAGAATGGTAGTCACACAGTCAGTGTAAATTTGTTTTTCAGTTACATGTTTTCATTATGTCAGCTTACCCAATCCTTAATTAAAAAAAATTTTTTTAAACTAATTTAAACATGGGGGCTTTACTTGAGTGTTTGTGGATCAGTGCCTGTAAGAACCTGGTTTTGCTTTGTGGGGGTACCCAAAATAAGAACAAATTGAGTGCAAAAGTGAATAAACTAGTTTGCTGTGCTCCACTTGTTAACTTTTAAGTAAAGAATTTTTTTACACCAACAGACTAGGGAGCTTTGGACATTAAGTATATCAGCAATTAAGATGTGATGATAACAGTTTTAAGTTTTTTTCTTTAAACCAAGTACAACTGGTTACTAGTTAAACTAGTACAATAAGGGATTTTTGTTTCAAAGTTTTGGAATCACAATTGTGTGTTGAACTATCATGACAAGATATGTATAGATGTGTAATTTAATGTGTTTTGGAATCACTTTAATCGTTTACCAAATTAAGGCCAAAAAAAAAGGAAGCTCTCCCCCCTCTGTTCACCTATCAGTCATACATATCTGGTTGAGGAAACAGTCCCTGTACTTTGGCTTCAGAGGAAGAAGCATACATTGGACAACTGAACAAATGACATATTCCCCCCCCCCCCCCCAGTCCATAAAGTATTTCAACCAAATGTGTAATTCCAAAGTAACCCAAAGGAGTCAATTAAGTAACAGGATAGTTATCTTTAAGACAAGTCTGCTGTCATGCCTAAAATTCTTCCTATTCATTAAGTAAGAGAAACTCTTTTCTTGAAAACTCTTCTTTAAAATGTAAACGTGTTATCTGGGTATTCCACATTACCTAATGACATGCAAAAAGATAAAGACACAGAGGAAATAAGATGAACTTGGGAGGCAGGAAAAACAAAACAAGCATTATTTTTGGGTATCCTGGAGACAAATTTTGTGTCCATTATTACTCTCAAACACACCATGAGAAAGTTCTTTTTTAGTCCTCATGGTTTTTTAAAATCACACTTCTGACCAATCTTCGGTATTTTTTAGTCAACATCCATCCTCAGCATTTGAAAAAATTTTACATCAACAGAATTAGATTTGGGGGAAAGTGATAAGAAACCCTCAGGCTCATTTATTGCAAAAATAGGGGTAGTTAAACAACATAGAGCAGCTGTCTTGAAAAAATGTTCAGAGATCAAACTTGTTTAAGGCTCAACATTTTAAAGTTGAAGTCTAAGACTTCAGTAATAAAAAGCAACTTGAAAATCAAAGATTATCCCCAACACTTAAACTTAGATACCACCTTAGAAAGAAAGAGGTTCCTTACATAAATAATTTCACAAGACACTTGAATATACTTCGTGGGATTTTATTTAGGTCAAGTTCTTAGTACACAGCAACAGTTAATTCCAAATACAATTAAAAAATTAAAAAGTGAATGTTCCCCCACTCATCTGGAGGTGGTTTAATGGCACACAAAAGAAACATTACTGGCAACAGACTGCTCCCTCAAGTTTTCCTGAACGGTTTTTATACTCAACCCATAACACCACCAACTCTCCCTCCGGGAGCTAAAAAGTACAACTGGCCAGATCACAAATTGTTTACATTCTTTGTTGTAAACCTTTTTGTTAAGGAAAAAGGTACATGGACACAAAATATGATAAAAACTGCTTTTCCATAGAATTCTGAAGTTGCAAAAGAGGTTTCATTTTAATGTGAAAATAAGCTTTTTGTTGGGTTTTTTTTTTTCTTACAAAAAACTTTATTTAGCAAGGATCATTTATACACAGCTAGGCCCTGTCGTTTCATTCATAATTTTTTTTTTAAATTATGAGACTCAACAGAATAGGAACAAAGTTAGCATAAAATAAACTTACAGCTAATGAGCTCAATGCCTCCATTTATAACTGTTTTATAAGGCTCTCTCAAATAAGGCTGTTTGCTGTGCTGCACTCCTGCCAGGGACAAACAACATATTTTTGCTACACACACACACCTTATGGGAAAAAGTGTTTATACTGAGTATAGTTTTAGAAGGGGTAGATGAAGATTATTTTTGCTAATTAAGGCTGCATTTAGTACACGCCTTTAAACAACAGTCCAAATACTCTGATGGTATTTATCAAAACATGGCATATCTCCTTCAAGTATAATCCTGAAAACATCAAGTAGAACTCAATTTCTAAAGAAAAATACAGCACATTTAATTAAGACAGTTGTGGTACAGTGGAGAAGAGTACTGGGCATTGAGTCAGGAACCCTACCATTACTAACTAGCTGTTCATCTAAAAAGAAACATCTATCCTCATCATTCAAATGAGACTGAATAAAAAAATGTTTAAATCTCATCTAGCTCTAAAATTCTATGATTCTAAGTAAATTGTGTAGGCAAAATTATCACTTCAACACCAATCAGGAGTTCCTCACCAAAGAAGTTCAGAAGTGAACAGATCTCAATACTTTTCAATTACTTGGCAGTCCACCTGCAATTCCTCCATCAAACCCTTTTCAAAGGTAAAGGTGGCCTTCAGGTAATAAAAGATAAGAGAACAGTTCTTAATGCAGAAAGGTCACCAGCCAAAAGAAAATGAAAACAAAAAGATTTTTGGTGAATCCCAAACAGAAAAATCTTATTCTTTAATCAACATAAAACTGCTAAGGAGCACAGGTTTACTACAGACATCACTATAAATATGCATAAAACATTCTCTCTAGCTGAGCAATAAACAGCAAAATTAGCAGGCCCTTGCCTACCCTAAGATGGGAACAGCAGGTGCCTCTGAGGAAGACAGAAAAGGAGTAGCCAAAAGATGGAAAATACTGGGAACAAGACATTTTAAAAGATTCATATTTGTTCCAAACACAGCAGGCTGAAGGTCTAGATCTCTCAGGTCTAGATTTTGACACACTGGCACCATTTTTGTTTATGATTTATTGCCTTGGCCATAAGGTCAAGGACAGCAAGAAAGTGTATTTTCATTCATACCCATGGACTTTCAAATAGTGATACCCAAACAAAAGGACGGGAGGGGGGAATATTCAGTCACTTTTTTTTTTTCCTATAAAGGAAAAAAGGAAGTAGAAAGTCAAAAACACTTCAGGAGGGAACAATCCTACTCCCATTAGAGTCCCACTACCCAGATAAAATGGTTGCTCACTGGTCAGCAGATTCTAGACTTGGATCATCATTGCTAAAATATCAACAGTATAGCATTAAGAATTTCTGCATTCTTTCGGAATTCCTAATACCATCTTTTAGTTTATAAAAAGATAAATGGAGGAAACTTATAATAAGACAGGAAATACTACCCTCACAGACTATTAATAGCATGCAATCTATGAAATATTACATACGTTAAAAGTCTCCAATTACTGTAGGCCTGGCCCATAATCATTACATAGTATCCTTCCAAGACAATGTATAGACTTTAACACTCTACAAAAATTAAAAATATGCAGAAAATCCAACAGGTAGTATTTGTAAAACTAAAGTCACATGTATAGAAAATAAATCAGCTGACCCATGGATTCCCCCTGCTGCGGGTCTTCAGTATAAAGGACTTCACCAGTGTCTTCAGTACTCCCCAATCCAGCAGGGGTCCAACAGACAGGCTGCATTTCTGCTGACTGCCACCAACTCTGCTTTCTGTACAGTTGTCTTCTCTCCTGTGGTTGTGAGCTGTGGGAACTATTTGTTGGATTTCAAAATACCTTCTGCCACATTAAACTACTAAGCTTTCTCAGCAAAAATCTATTTAAGCAAATAACTGGAAGATCTAATTTAAATTTTTTCCTAGTTATACACCAGTACTAAGAAGAGTTTAATCTATGCAAGTATTTGGGTTCATAATGGAGCTAAAGGCTCAGAGGACAGTCAGGGCCATTACTCTGAAGGAAAATGCAGAATAAGGGATGTCAAGATGACCTAACAAAAGCGTAAAGTAGAACGTTATACTGGAGGCAAGTTAATGAAAGCTTAACCCAAAGTGTTGGGAAAATCTAAAAGAAAAACAGCTAAGCTAAGTTGCAATGTGTTTCTTAAAAACTACAACTTTAAAAACACAAAAAAAGTTACCTTGATAGGGAAACTATAGCAGGGTCTCAGTTAAATGGTAATGAACTTCTATGCTCAGCTAACAGATTTACAAGTGGCACATTAACTTCTGCCTACACCATCTGAATTTCCTCACACACTACTACACACATTCATTTTTCAATCAAGTTCCTCTATCTGCACTACCCGTTATATTCAAGGCCTACATTTGAAATACATGGAGCTATTGCCTGTCCCCTTTCGCCTGGCACAGGGAAGTAACCTGGCAAAGCTGGGAAGAACCCACGTTGGCAGGTTTGGGCCTGACCATCAGCTGGCCATCATCACAGTATTCGCTTACTGAGCAGTGAACCATCCTGGATTTTCTCATCATTTCTTATACTGATTACAGAAGTGATGATGAAATCCAAGATTAAGATTGGGCCTATTAATCTTATTAATCTTATTAATATTGTCTTCTTATTCTGAGATATAAGGTTCAAATTCTTACTAAGAGCTACTTCAGAGTCCAATCACAAAATTAGGAGAGTATTTACCTTTTCCAGAGCTGAGTGAGTAAATGACTCAGTGGCAGCTAACACTGACCATTAATAACATTCAGAGAGCACAGTAGCAGGCCTTTTATTCCCAGTGACTAACAAGAGACTTGAAAATAACGGCTGTTCTCTTCCAAAAAAGAATAGTGTTTTTCTAAATAGTGAAAGAATAGTAGTAATTGGTTTGACCTTTTAGATCCTATTCCTCAAAATAGCACCTAAGGCAAAGGTTCAAGATGCCTGTTGAGGAGAACACTTGTACAGTTCTGTCTCTTCAGAACCTCAGGAACTTTCGCGTCTGGCTCCGCACACCTACCTCAGCATATGAACCGCCTACCACACTTCACACCTGGTACACTGGCCATTAGCGGCAATGCAGTCTCACACAGCAGCACATTAAAACAAAACTGTGGCAATTGTTAACCACCCTTGGAATGTTTGGAGACTTTCACATTTCATCATCCTTATAATCTATAAACTGAGAAACACGAAGGGATGCAAGTGAGTTCAGCATTAACTCATTTGGTGCATTCAAGTGTTGAGAGAATGCAGAATTTACAATGTTAAAAGGAAAAAAGCCATCTGAAACATTGTAAAAATGGTTAAGTATGATATTTAAATATTGGCAGCCTCCTCCTCATACAAGTGGAAGAAAGTGCGGGGCTAAGGTACCCACTGGGCCATGAGGTTAACCGCTCAGCACAGGCAATGAAGACCATCCAATGCCACAGACTCTGCAGGAGGAGAAATCCCAAGGGTGGACAGTATTCCTGAGAAAGATCCCAGAATTTTTTTCTGAATCAGTCTTAATCAGATTTGTTTTAGCTACATAATTATGTTGTTACACCTTTGACATATTCAGAAACAGTCACTTTATTTCAATCCAGACAGTTCAGCATAGTACAAATGATGGCAAAAAGATCCATCTGTTCAGACTCAGCTTGCTTTTTTGTTTCTGTTTTAATACTGGGGGATAAATCAAAAAAAAAAAAAAGTAGTTTTTATCATTTGTATCCTTCATTCTATTTCACTGGAGGGGAATCCCCAGGGCCTTCAGATAATCTGGGAAGACCTGACTATTCCTGTGAGAAAAGCCCAGCCCTCTGAGCTTTACTCGGAATAATGCATGATAGACTCTACATAATTCCCAGGAAAGAGCCCAGTCACTCCATTCATAACTCCCTCATACCAACCATCATCATTCTTCTTGATGACATAAATAATGGCTCCTTCCTGAAAGGACAGCTCATCTTCCTTGTCTTTTGTATAATCATAAATTGCCACAACTAGAGAGAGAGAAAAAAAAAAACGTAGGATGTGAAAGAATAATATTCCTAAAAAGACAGAACGAAAGTGAATATCCACCATTCCCAACTTCTGCAGCACTCAAACATGATGACTTTCTAAACACTGACCAAAACTTATCTATATATTTTTTTCTTACTAATATCCAGTCTTATAAAATGGAATCTTCCTTTTCTAGGAAGGTTAGGTCCTAAATTGAGTACAAACAGCAAAAAACACATTTTAGTCAAACTTACCCTTAAAACAGCCTTTGGGAAAGTACCTCACTGAGGAGAGAGACACAATCCCAGAATCAGGAAAGAGGCTATTTTTTTATTTGAGCTGGTGTTGAAGCACCATATTATAAAAAAAAATGTATGCCTTTAAACATTAGGATTACACTACTGCAGATACTCCATGAGAAGCAAATTAGAAATGACACAGATCAAAGAAATAGCAGATATATGTCTCCTTTCTCACACTTCACTGAGTAGAATGATGGCTGAATTCCCACAAGTTAAATGCACAAATGGAAATCCACTATATGTATTCTTTCAAAATACATGCTGCATTATGTCACCAATATATCCACAATAACAGACTAAAAGTGCTAAGAAAACCAAAATGCCGATAAACTCTCCTGTGATTTTCACTGCTTAAATCACTTGGTAACTAGGACTTTTCAACTATTATCTTGGATAATCTCTGGTATTACATCACCTGCAACAGTTTAGTTCAATTGCAATACCTTGTAACTTGGTCAAATCCACTTGAAGAATTATCTTTTGTTCCAGCCTCTTCATCCCCTGCACTTTTTTCACACAACTCAGAATTTCACTCAATGAAATTTCCATCTATCCATTGTTTCAGGAAGCACATACATTTAGTTTTTCATGCAACTTTACTCATCACATAAATAAATAAGAAAACAGAAACCATGGGCCGGCCCGGTGGCGCACTCGGTAGAGTGCGGCACTTGGGAGCGCCGCCGCGCTCCCGCCGAGGGTTCGGATCCCATATACAGACCGGTCCACTCACTGGTTGAGCGCGGTGCGGGCGCGACACCGAGGGTTGCGATCCCGTTACCAGTCACGAAAAAAGACAAAAAGGAAAAAAAAAAAGAAAACAGAAACCACAACAAAGGTTTTTAATATAATGCAACTTGTCCTAGTTAAAGAAAAATGTGTGTTTCTGGCCAGCTTTAGTAAAAATTAAATGGCTTCCTTAAACTGTGAATATGTTCCATTACAGTGATATATTAAGGATGCCAGAAAATATTTTAGAGGGACCTAACCTAGGAAGAGTTCGGTGTGTATTTCTCAAAATATAACCAAATACCTAAACACAATTAAATGACATACAAATTTAACAATAAATGTAAAAGAATACAAGTTAGAGTATTTAGTATTTCTAGTCAACCTAATATTTTCTAGCATTTTTTTTTTTAAAGGAAAGACAACATTCTTGGTGCTTATAGAAATGCAAGCCCACTGAAAAATAACAGAAGAGAGTATAAAGGCTGCTGCAACAAAGAAGTTTAAGAGAAGTTATTAAGCTCTCTATGCGTCCGTTTTCTTCTTTAAAATGTAGAAATTGTATTAGATAGAATTTACATTGAAAATGATTCCAGGGACTCTGTTTATGGTGATACAGAGCTGAGAGCTTTAACAACTGCTAAACATTTTCTCTTCTGTCAAAATTAGTGATCACTGTTATAAAATGAATCGCTTTTTTAATATAAAAAATATGCTGTTAAGAATGTTCATTTTCACTCCAGGTAAAGATATATACCAGTAGTTTACTTCGTTTCATCAAAAGGAAAATAGACTTGAAGAGACTTTCATCAAAATAAAGATACTCATTAAATACAAGTATCTTACCACTTTCACTAATATTCAAAATACTGATGTTGAGAAATGTAAAATCAGTCTAGATACTATTTAACCCGGAAAAATAGTTTTGGCAGTAGTAAGGAAAGTCTAATTTTCCAATTATGCATGTATATCACACATAGTATTCAAAATCACATGGGTAATTTACAAAGCACATGCAAGAAAGAAACTTTTAAAGAAAAATGCTAAACATTTGGTTCCTATGAAATTATGAGTGAAATAGAAGGAACAATGGTGTCTATATTGTTTTTTTCAATGTTTCTGCTAAAGTGAAAATACATTCTAAATTTCAAAGTACCTCGTTCAAATTTAGCACTCCAATTGAAGGCATCCTAAAATATTTTACAAAGGTCTGTAACCAAACAAAACTTAATTTATTTATTTATTTTTTTGGTCCTTTTTTTTTGAGACTGGCCGCACTGTGCTCAGCCAGTGAGCAGTGACCGGCCATCCCCATATAGGATCTGAACCCGCGGCGGGAGCGCTGCTGCGCTCCCAGCGCCGCACTCTCCCGAGTGCGCCACAGGCTCGGCCCCAAAACTTAGTTTAAATGCTTCTTTTTAAAAATTTTAACCCTATAGTTTTATACGAAGTATGCTGCGGAGTTAAATATAGACAATAATGGTGCCACATGATGATGGTAAATGATCAGTAAGAAGACTCAGATTACCTTCTACAGCAATCTGAACATAAAATCTCTCCACACTACAAACTCCTGGAGGGAAGAACTATCCCTTACTTATCTCTGTGTATTCCTAGCACAGAACACAGGGCCTAGCATTTCGGATACTTCTAAATAAATCTATATTCCACATTATTCAACTACTGAGTTAGTAATAAATATACCTTAAGTATGCACTGGGGGTAAAAAATGAGGTGACACTGAAGTAACAACAATGTGAAAAAGTTCAAAATGAGAATGCTACATAGAAATGACTGGTCTGAACTAAAGAGAATGACCACCAAAAACTAGGGCATTAGCAACCACACCTAGCAGTTAAGTACCTTGAACTGGCAAGCTACTGGAAAGTCAAAATATTAGTAAGATTATCCATTTCAATATACTCTATATTAAATCACATATTATGAATTGAGATAATTTTATTCATGTAGAAAATAAAAAGTTTACCCCAAGTCAGTAAAACTTCATTTTACATAATTTGGAATTTATGTATAACCTGCCCTGAGGTTGGACAAAGTTAAATCTTCCCACTACCAATGAAGAATTTGTTAGCCCAGGGTAAGCCCCCTCCACCCAGATGCAGGCAAGAAACAGAGCACGCCAGGGGTCCTAAAGCAGATGCCAAGGGAAACATCCCCAGGAGCACACCAAAAACACCACTTCCACACAGGTGGCCCACCACAGCCACTGCCACAACATGGCTGCCACAACAGCAGCAGATGCCACAGCAGTAGCCATAACTGCCATGCAGGTGGCCTGCCAGACACTCAACTACACTGACACAAGGAGAGTCACCAGCAGAGACTGGAAAAAGAAGAGGACAGCTCTCTCCTAAAAGCTCAGAGTAAGAGAAGCAGCAACTGCTCCAGTGACCAGACAATGTAGAGATACGAGAAATATGAAAACCCAAGAAAATATAACACCAGCAAAAGAATACAGTAATTGTCAAATACCAGACCCTATAAAGCAAGAAACCTTGAAATGACTGAAAAGGAATTCCCAACAACAATCTTAAGGAAACTCACTGAAATAGGAGAAGACTCAAACAATACAATGAAACAAGAAAAAAACCCCAGGATATGAAGGAGGAAATTTACAAAGAGATTAATACCTTAAAAAAGAATGTAGCATCTTTTTTTTTTTCTGTAGAATGTAGCATCTTAATATAGGTGTTTACAAGTATAAATTTTCCTCTAAGCACTACATGAGCCCTGCATCCTATTAATTTTAATGTTGTGCTTTGATTTTTATCTCAAAGTACTTTAATTTTCCTGTGATATTTCTTTTTATCCATTATTTATTTAGGAGAGTGCTGTTTAATTTCCACACATTTGTGAATTTTCTAAATTTCCTGTTATTGTGTTCACAGAACATATTTTATATGATCTTAGTCTTTTTAAAGATATTAAGCACTTGTTTTGTGGCAAAAAGAACCTAATACATAAATATGGACAATCTTCCCTATATCTTTGGGTCTTCATTCTGAAGGCTCATGTGTCATGGAAAACTATAATAAAGTTTCTTATGTCTTTTCTTCATATAAAAAAAAAGAATTTGTTAAACTACTTAAAGTAATCTAAATTAAGAGACATTTAGAACCGATTGGGGATACTATTTCTATAAAAATAATGCTGCTTAATTAATGTAGCCATATTCCTTCTGCCCCCACCATTCTAATGAAACTGCTCAAAGGTGACCATCAAAGAAATGGCCTTCTAATTTTGAGATCCACAGCCTCTTCCTAGTTATTTTCCTAACTGAACTTCCTGTAGTGTCTGGCAATGATGATTACCTATGTCCCCCTGGCCCCTTCTTAACATTTTCTTCCATCATTTCATGACAGTATCTTCTCCTAGTTCTTACTCCCCTACATCCCCAAGTCCTGTTAATTCTACCTCCTAAATCTCTCAAATCCAAACACTCCTCTCCATCATCATGGTCACTGTCCTAGTCAGAACACCAGTCTTTAAACTGGAATACATGTTTTACTCAGGTACCTGAAGATTTTCTAAGCAGTATGAGTGACAGATAGTTTTACAGAAATTTCTCTTTCTAGATTTTCAACTCCTATAAATATTGCTTCCTAAAACTGATCTGCTTGAGATGATACCTTCAGTCAAGCATCAGTCAGAAAAGTTCCCACTTCCTTTTTGTCCTTCTACTTAAATGTACAGTGGTGTAGTCTCTGAAACTACAAAATACTCTTGGGTGCCAAAGGGACCACTCAAAATACTGGTGTTTGTATTTAAAAAAGGAATTACTCCACTGACTGAGTAACCAGTCCTTTTGCAAGTCAGGTGGCTCCCATTCCTTTGCTTTTAACAGAATTTAAGAAAGACCTTAATGGAGTTATCAGTTGATATATCATAAAACATGATTTCTTTTTTTTTTTCTTTTTGTCTTTTTTTTTCGTGTCCGGCAACAGATCGCAACCTTCAGTGTCGCGCCTGTACCGGACCGGACCGGCAACGGGATCGCAACCCTCGGTGTTGCGCCCGCACCTCGCTCAGCCAGTGAGCAGGAACCGGTCTGTATGTGGGATCCAAACCCTCGGCAGGAGTACCGCCGCACTCCCAAGCGGCGCACTGTAGCAGTGCGCCACCAGGCCGGCCATAAAACATGATTTCTGAAGAACATTATTTGATTTCTGGCAAACAGCTCTTCAGACTTCAAGTAACTGAGTGACAATGCCACGTGAAAAATCCTCCAGTATGCATCAATTTACTTATGTGAACAAATGGTGTTTTCAGCACCACTGCCTCAATTAAGGCCCTTATCTCTTGCTTGGAAAGGTTATCCAAACTGGTCTTCCCAACTCCCACTTTTCCTCCTTTCCAATGCACTCTACACTATTATCAGGTATCTTTAAAAAAAAAAAAAAAGTTAAATAAATATATGGGATCTTATCATTAACCTACCTAAAAATTTTCCACAATTTCTCTCTACTACCACATTTTTACAAAAGAAAAAAATCCGAACACCTCAGTATAGTATTCAAGACCTCTCACCACCTAATAATTTTAACTTATTTCCCCCTGTTCACTCATACACCACCTACTTTCTCCTTACAACTAACAAGTCCTTCCCTTCTCTCTTCTCTACCTGAGGGTTCGGAAACTCCTATTCACCATTCAAGGCACATCACAAATGCCATGTCCTATGAGAAGCTTTCTAGGAATCCTCAGATAGAATTAATGGCATTATTCATTTTTTTGACAATCATTAATAGAGCATCCACGCTCTTTTTCAGAGATATAAAGATGAAGAAGACAAGAGACTGTCAGAGTCTTGTGAAGACCGAAATGGTATCTGACAATTTACCCTACATGTTTAAACTTCTAGCTAATAGTTGTATCATTAAGCCGGAAGAACACAAGAAAAGATGGTTTGATAAAAGATAAAACCTTCTCCTATGGCAGTGGTTCTCAATACTGTAATTATCTGAGGAACTTTAAAAAAATCTGATGCCTGAGTCCCACTTCCAGAGATTCTAATTTAACACATACGGAGGTACGGCCATATTAAATGCTCCCTAGGTAACTCTAACATGCAGGCAGGGTTGAGAACCAGGTCTTAAGGTCTGAGATAACAAAATGAGTCATCAGGCAACAACTTGAACATTTATGCACACTCAAACAAAAAAGCAATCATAAGCTGAGCACAGCTGCTCTTGTTTGTTTGCCAGTAAGAACTTATTTGGTTTTCATGTTTTGAAAGACTTGGACTTAACAGAGATAAGTCAAACTTTGAAAACATCTTAGGGAACGCAAGCATGTTCTTTTAAACTTTAAAGAGTGAGTTGGGGCTAGCCAGTTAGTTCACTCAGTTAGAGCTGGTAACTTAGATTTCCTTAACAGAAAATTTCCTTCCAGAAAATACACATTTTTTCTGAGCTAATTAGTCCTGATGAGATTTAGAAGCTTGTGTCCCAAAGTGCTATGTCATTGTTAGCTAATAGAGAAGCTTTCCACTAAAACAAATGCCCAATAATACTTTGCAAAGAAACTGAGAAACTATTATTCTTTGGAAGAAAGTTTCATATGGAGATACTTAAAATGAAATATCTGATATGGGATGACTCAAAATAATGTTCTAAAGCATGGGGGTAAGAATAATTAATAATTTGGAAAATATAATCCTCTTCCTGAAGTATTCCAAAGGAAACAGAAAGCCCTCCCATTTGTGACTTTCGTCTGATAGAAACCATTCATAAAAAGCATGTTCAATAGGAACAACAGATAACTAGCAATTAAAAAATTAGTCAAGTGTTTGCACAATTTTACTAGCATGACTTTCAAAATTATGATCTTCGTATACTAAATTAAGAAAAATGCGCAGATAATACAAATAAAACTTTACTTATCAGTAAAAAATACACAAGATTCTCTTCAGTAGTAGCAAATTTCATTTCTATGTAGAGGTTTCTTCCTATCCCTCCAGATATCCTCTTGAAACTCACCCTTTTCCAAATAAGACCTTGGAGCCCACGGTGGGTCCTCTTCAGCATAAGGATCGCTATACTCAACCACAGCTGCTTCCTCCTCTTCATAATCTTCTGGGGGAGGAGGTGGAGGTGGGGATTCATCAAAGACCGGTTCTTCCACAGGTGGTGGTGGAGGTGGTGTATCTGAAACTAAGAATGTATCAAGCTGATGACAAAACTACACATTTATGCAAAGTTCAGTATTTCCTATCCAAGTTTCTAGGTTCACGGAATATAAACCCAGACCTGAAGATAATCTTTCAAAAAGTGACTGGGCAAGAGAAATGTTCCCACCAACTATAATGTTCTAAATCTCCAAACATGACTTTCTCCCTCCCACTTAGGTAAGTGCTGATGGATGGTGAATAAAGTTTCACCAAAATAATTGTTAACTGAGCCTCTGGAACCTGCTTATGCTAATACATAATCAATCCTCTTTTCAACAAGATCAGAACAACTTAGTTTGGCTCTATATTCAAAGAGAAGTTATCAGAAATATTAATAATTTGGACATTTACAACCATATTTCATATATAACAAATTAGAATGAGTCCAGAGAATAGCATATTTTAATCATCTCTTCTCAATGGATTTTTAAAAAATAGCATTTTACCAAATTGGAAAGGAAGAATCACAAACAACTTTGAGTAACTTCATCCATGAAGATGTTGTTTGTTTACAGAATTTCAACTAACTCAGACTAATGATTCAGAATTTCTTCAGGCTAAATATCCAAGTATATTATCAGAGTAAATTAAAATATTTAAAATGTCTCCTTTAGAGATCTGCTTCCACATCTCAGTATCATCATATAGTAACATCTAAAAGATTATCTCCAAACTCAGAGAACTCAAAACTTTCAAAATGCTTGGAACATACTTGAACACAGCTCAACAGAATAAAATGAATGAACCTGCATGTATCAACTGCCCAGTTTTAATGAACAGCACTAATTCTTCTATATGAGGTAACAGTATTATTTCCATGAAATTCTCTGAACAATCCTGTTTATTCTCTATTTTTTATCTAAGCCTACTGACTGAATCAAATGGATTTTAGAAGACTGCTTATGCCTGATGAGAATCAACCATATCAACACCATACTCTGTCCTATTTCAGTATTCTTCCCATCTGCTGTACCACTCTGCACTTAACCACTTTATAAAACAGAAATTCTTTAATCCTAATTTTTAAAAAAAGATATAGATATGTGATTTTAGTATATACTTCATGAAAAACTACATATGAATGGGGTCAGAAACATGTCCTATTTGCATTTGTAAAAAGATTGACTTTAAACAATTGAACAAAAACAAAGATCCAAAGGAACTTTCAAAACAATCACCTTGAGAAATAACATTACTAAATTACTTACTCAAAGATACTGCCATTTCTCATTTTTACCTTTCTTATAAGTGCCTGAAAGCCAGTTTAATAAGACTAACATAAGCAACCATTTTTTACTTAAAATGTTCCAATTACTCAGCTAGCAATTTATAATACGTTGTTTCACTTAATATTTACCTTGGGAGGTGGTGTTTTTAATTATCATTTTATGGAGATAGAAACTGGCTTTCCAAGATTAAGTAGTCCTACAGCAAGTAAGTGAAAGAGCACCTGAATTCCAATGCCTATTATATTAAAAGCTACACTACCATGGAATAAGATAAATTCAATAACTTTAAAGTCATGTTTCATTAATATTAATTCAACTAACATCAACTGAAAGCCTACTATGGCTAGGTACTATGCTCAGCACTGAGAAAAGAGTGTGGGCAAAACTACTCTTTGGACAACCAAACTTTCATATACAATTAAATGTAGTTAAAGTGCATTAAGATATTATGGGAACACATAGCATAGATCAAACCCCTTACATGGGTCAGGAAAGGCTTCTCAAGACCTGAAGGATGAGTAAGAGTTAATGGCCAGAGGATAAGATGGTGTGGGAGTGGATATTTCATGTTAGATATAAAGAAAAAGAAAAAGAAAAAAGAAAAAAAAAAAACAAGTACAAGCTAAATAAAGCAGGAAAACTTCAAAGTACTCTCCAAAGTTCAGGAGAAAGAGGCATGAGAAAGCCGAAGAGGACTAGGCAAGAAGGGCCTTACAGCAGTTTGCACTCCATCCAAAAAGCAATGGGGAGCTGCAAAAGCATTTTAAGAATAGGATCATAACTGCATTTTTTGTCCCAGTATAAGTGGTTCACTATAACTTGCTCCAAATGATTCCAGACTTCTTCCAAACATCAAACTTAATGCAGAGGAAATATCTACTATCACAGAGTATCTTCAAAATAATATAACTGAAAAGCTTTGAAGATATATCCAAAAGAAAGGTATATATCTTTCCAAGGTGAATGTTTTGAAGAGGATAATGGTCATTTGAATGTATTTGAGTCCTGCTATGCCTGTAAAATCAGTCACAGCAAACCTCATACACAATGTTTTTTATTTTATACATTTTGTACATGAGAAATATAAACAACTAAGGAAAGTGATGAAAAAGACTATCCCAAAAGTCAATCAACTGTGATAGGGTGGCCAAATTAGGGATTGACTTTTTAAAATATAGGTAGTGCTGCTATAATAATGTTTTACAATCATCTTCTTAAGACATTTCTAAGTCTTGATCTGGCAATCATGCACTTCAATAATATTAAATTAAAACTACTTCTTGGGTCTGTTCATGAAACATTTTAATGTCTCTAGAAACTGCAATTTTCACTAATGACTGGTGAAAACTAACATCTTGCTTCATAATCCTATTCAACCTTCAAATCTAGTTTTTTGCAAAAAAAAAAATTAACCTTTTAGTTCCTATATTAACATTCTTGTTTGATTGCTGCATTAGTCATCAATGTCAGTTTCAAGATCTGGTCCTTATTCCAGAAGCTGCTCGTAACCACTTTGTTCATAATGAGTGACATCATCTCATAGAATATGCAGTAGCAACTGATTGGTGGAATTCTCCAAGGTACATGCTTATCATGATCATCAAAACAAAAAAAGAAACTCCCAGAGTATTATTCAAGTGACTATTTGCATTAATCAACATATTTAAATTGGATTTGTGATGGCAGAAAGGTTCTCTTTTACTGTAATGATGCTAAACTCTCCACCTTATTATGGGAGTGCAGAATGGAAGCGGCATTGGAAAGTTCTTTGATTCTGGTACTCTGATTAAATCCTTTTCTACTTGGCAACTTACCCTGTTCAGATGCAGCACAAAATTTAAAAAGAGCAAGCAACAGTGGCCTTCTTTTCCACATTTGACCTCACAAGCCTGGCAAAGGGTAGTCCTACTGCTGTTCTGCGCACATGCTAGACCAGTTGAATCCTGCTGAGAGGCCATTTTCTCCATGAGCCAATGTGGGTACCATGCAAGCCAAAAGAACAGTGGTGCCCAATAGCATAATTTAAAAAGATATGAATCCACCTGATTATATATGAAAGTAGTTCTTAAATTTAACAAAACAGCTTAAGAACTCAGTGTCGTAAACATAACAGGTGTTCAGGAGGTAACTTCCAGTAAACAAAAGTAAAACAGACAATTTTCAGAAATCAGCATATAGAGATGCAAAGACACCTGAAGAGACACTGAACCCTCAGGCCAGTAATACTGGATTATAACCAGTTAAAATATAAACACATCTAGGGCCGGCCCCGTGGCTCACTCGGGAGAGTGCAGCGCTGGTAGCGCCGAGGCTGCGGGTTCGGATCCTATATAGGGATGGCATGGCCGGTGCATTCACTGGCTGACAACACCATGCCAAGGGTTGCAATCCCCTTACCAGTCAGAAATATATATATATAAACACATCTAAAAAAACGAATGTGTCAACAAAACGGGGGCATTTAGTCAGCTTTAGAAGCATAAAATGGAGGGGCCAAAACTACCTACTATGTGTCAGATGCTTTTCTAAGTGCTGGGGAAACAGCGAGCAAACAAAACAGGCAAAAATCTCTGTTCTCACAGAGCTTACATTCTAGTATTAACAAGGCCTATTTCCAAAGAAGCAGGAGTCCTAAGCAAATACTTCTATCCCATCAGTGAGATCATCCTTGTTATGAGATGCATACGTGGACTACTTTGGCCTAATGACATTAAGTCTTCAATTAATGTAATTCCCCTAGGTCAGATTCCATGCCCCTCATGCAACTTTATGACTGTGATATGGCACCTCGTGTAGACTGCTCACAAGAAAATAATTCATCCATCATACAGACTATGTTCACTGGTCTCTGTGACAGCAATTTCTCACTGAATGTTGACACGGGCCAAGGTAAATTCATTGCCAATCTATGAAGCCTCACTGGCAGCTTGGTCCTCTGGGCCCTATCAAGGCATGGCTCTTTTTACACCTGGAATCACAGGACTGGAAGAAGATTCTCAGGCCACCTATATATAATACCCCTAAAACTACGGTGATAGAAAATTAGACTATTACTTATCTGAGCAACCCAGAGAAAAAGATGAAATATCTGGGGATTAAAGAGTACTTCCTCAGTTAGATGTGATGTTTCTTTTCTTATGTGTGCCTTATTTTATATTTATTTGTCTTGTCTTCACTACTAGATCTTAAGCTACTCAAAAATAGAGAATTTCACCTTATTTTATCCACACTAGCCGTTCATACAGTGACTTGTTCATAATATTAAATTATTTGAAGTATCAGTGAATGAATGACTATTCAGTCAATCGTATATAAGTAACATTTTATGCCTATAATCTGATCTACAGCATAAAGAAGACAAACTTACTATTTTCTTGGACTCTGGCCACAAATCCCATTAAAGGTAACTGAGGAGTTACCTGTAGGATGGAGGGAGGAGGAGGAGCAAGAGATACTGCAAAAACAAAAAAGGTGTGGAGGATAAGGGGTAAGGGCAAGTTACATTAAAAGGAAAGGATAATACAATAAAATTAACACATAAAGGAGGGAAACCTCTATTCACAAACATTTTATAAGCTATCTTAAGGATCCCCTTTTGAAGGATTTGTTAACACACAAAACAAAGTATTAGGGCAATGTTTAGTAAGTTTTTAAAAATTACAACAGGAAGCATTTATTATACACAGATCTACTCTAACATATGAGGATACTTCAAAAAGTTCATGGAAAGATCCATATTATTTTTTAATTCTATTTCTCCACTACCTTTTTGAAGTATCCCTGTATAATGGCAAATGATCTTTTTCATATCGATATCAACATGACTTCTCAAAGAATTTCTGCAGATTACAATGAATAATTTTGTTTCCTGAATTTTACCTTGAAGGTTACAAGTTTAAATGTTTGTCAATACAGGAGAAAAAAACATTGTATCCCAACAACCTAAATGTATACTTTTTTATTACTTCAATAAGTCAAATTAATTGGTTCTTTATTCATTACTTAAACAAATATTTACTGACTTCCTACAGAGTGGCAAGCACTCCAACAGGAGACCAATATCAAAACCATTCTCTGAAAGTCATTACAATTTTTCATAATCCCAACTGATTAGTACATTTCCTCCCTGACCCTACAGAAAAGTGCTAGCCTTACTGAAATCACTCCACTCTCCTCTCCAAAGTGTCTTTCCCTCTATCTCAAACACCTGGAACAGTGCCGAGCCTTCAACAAATGCTTAACATATATAAATGCACAAATGTGCCAAACAATTTCACAAGATTAACTCTTACAGCTATAGTTTCCTTCAGAATAGGTATAAAGCATGGTATACACCCTCTTAGAAAAAGAATGCCTTTATCAGCTTCAAATTAGTTAGGACTAATAAAACTAAAAAGATGACTGAGTCTCTGCCCTCAAGATGACATTCCACTTGGGAATACAGAAAATAATAATCTTAACCTAAAAATACTTATCACAATTCCCTAGAGGAGGAAGTGGTGGTAGTAGTGAGGAAGGCTGTACAGAAATGACATTTGAGCACATACTTAAAGAAAAGGAGATCAACAAGCAGACACGAGTTGAGAAAGACAAACAAGTTGAGAGAATCAAGGCTTAGAAGCATAAAATGGCATGACCAGTTCACAGGACCAGAAATGTTTTCATATGGTTAGAATAAGATACCCCCAAGAGAAAGTTTAAAAAAAATAAAAATAAAAAACAGAAAGATGAGTAGATGAATATGAAATAGGGAAAGAGAAGGACCCTATATGCCAGGTGAAAAGGGACTTAGTGGAAAGAGATTGGATTTCAAAGTTACCCAGCCTCAAATCCCTGACCCACCATTTCCTTGCTGTTTGGACAGCAAGTCAGTTAACTTCTTTAGGCCTAATCCATAAATGTGATATGAAAAAGAGATAATGCAACCTACTTCACATAGTGGTTGCAAAGATAAAAAAATCAATGTATGCAGAAAGCCTAATCCAGGGGTTGGCATATAATAAATCAAAGCAGTTATAGAAACAGAAAGAAAAGCAGAGAACTCAGTAACTGTGGAAAGAGAGTACCTGGTAACTAATGATTTGGCTAGCATATAAAGGAGAGCAGGTTGAAAGAGATTCTTAGATTTTTAGTCTTGGTAACTATAAAAGTGAGATGACATTAACCTTGGTAGTACTCGGAAAGGAACATACTGGTGAGTAGGCAGGTCGGGGGAGAGAATGAGATGTACGAAAGTAACTTAAGCATAAATATGACAGGCAACTGGAAAATCTGGATTGAATTCGTGGAAAAAAACTGAGGGACACAGCTAGTAATCATCAGTAGAGAGATAACGGTTGATACTATGGATAGATGCAGGGAGAACATACATAATGAATAAACATGAGTTAGGCAGGGAGTCTGGAAGAATATCTAGGCTTAAGGGACAGAGCAGCATAATCCTATAAACTGGTACCTTTCTTTTAAAAAGTACCTTTAGTTCGGTTTTCCCTAAAGTTACAGTTCTTGACAGTAAATCCCTGATTTGTATGTCTCTTACTCAGAGGCTTGGAAAAATACCCTGTTTCTAATATTTGGGATAAGCAGAAGACAATTACAGAGAAGGTAGCAGAGACTAAATAGATAAAACTGAGAAGCAGCAGCAGACAGCAACCAGCACTAGAAGAGATCAAATACATGCTCACATACAATAAGATGAAATGTTCCTCTTCTGTTAGCACACATCCAACCTTCCCTATAACAGAAAAGTAGGAAATCTCCCACCTCAGTCATTGTTGCCCAACCAAATTAAAAAATGACCTTTTCGTACTTGGCTAAAAAAGAATGATCAGGTTCTTAACTACAACAGTCTTTTTGTGAGTAGGTTAAGTTTTGTTACTTTAAGATGAATATGCTTTATTGTTTTGCTAGTTATGAAAGTGAACATCTGAAACTATAATGGTCTTAAGAAGTCCAACAGCAGCAGCCAGGCAAAAACCAATCCCAGATCTTCCTTAAACAGAGTTACTTTATAACAAGTTAAGATTTTTTTCAAAGCTACTGTAAGGCATGCTCAAAAATTCAGTTCCATCTGGGGTTTACAAAGGTAACCCCAAATTCTACTTTTTTTGCTCAGGGCAAATCTTTAATGTGGTGATCCAAATTAATTCAGCTACCACAGCCACTTTCTTTTTGGACCACTTAAGATTTCATCTGGGAAAGAAAAAAAAAAAAAGATTTCATCTGACCAGAACTCCTGTAAACCAGAATATAATATAATAGCCTACCTTAGACTAGTTTTACCTTCCTTATAGTTGAGCTGAAAATGAACTATTCTAGGAGAATTTAAGCAGGATTTTGATGCAAAGAATTGTTTGCAATATTTAGTTCTAGTCCTAGGCATCTCGTGAACAGGCAAGAGTGGGAAGTAACTTTATAAACTTGTTTTCATTCCATTTATGTGATATCGCTTTTCTTTTGCAATATCACCATCCCAACATTGTTTTATCACTGTTCTTTCTTGTTGTTTTTAATACCATTCAAGTGTTATTAAGCCTGACACTTTCCTTTGTAATGCAGAATACCCATTCAGAAATTACTCTCACATAACTATATACACAGTAGTCACATTTCTAGGAACCAATATTCCACTTTATGAATTAGTTTGTTTTTTTTTTAAAGCCTTTGTTGTAAGAAAATATGATCAGTAAAATATAGGCTTATTTTCTACTAAAGGCCTTAGTATTTAAATGCCACATTATTGATTCCTTACCAAACAAGGTTTTTGCATGTATATGTAAATATATATCTGCAAATACATATATGTAGATACATGTATATGCTTCTTTACCACCAAGGAGCTTCATAATTATACTTAGAGTAAAAACTGTTAACTCATGAGTAGCCCTATGTGTTTCTATGACCCTAATCTCTGCTGGCAAAATGAATGATTTGGTATTCCTATTTCTTTGAATGGAGTAGATTCAGAAATACTGAGAACCATAGGGGTTTCAGCTATACTCTGATAAATGTGTTCCTTTCAAGAACTTGTTTCTGAAATAATCTCATTAGAAAACAATTATTGTGCTCCTAGGACTTGGCACTAGACACTGGGTGCTCCATATTTTAATTGTTATGTTATAATGTCCTTTTTCAAACTCAAACCAAATTGTACATTAATAAATACAGTAATAGTGTTGCTAGATTTATAACTCACAGAACCCCATTGCATTTACATTCACAAGAATCCCAGCTTGTTAGCTCACTTCTTCAGAAGCATGCATCCATCATAAGATTCCAATTACAAAAAAATATGCTCATAAAACACACAACTTAGATCATCTTATTAAATCAAGGAATTAGCTACCTGAGAAAGCACAACAAATTTTCTCATTTTAAATATGAAAAAAGTGGGGCCATTGTAGGGCCAGCGGGAATAATACAAGAGACTTATATAATATCCTAAAGCAAATAAAATGAAGGTTTACAAAGCTTTAAGTCTCACAAAAAGAGCTTTTCAAAGAACATGGTTTAGTTAAAAAAAAAATTTAAACTATTTAAACAGTTACCAAATCCCTGGAGAAGAAAGGCAGAACTTAACAAGAGAAGTACAGAAAAATGAAAAAACCACAACTAAACTGCCTCACACATTACACTGAAGGCCCAATGACCCCAATTCACCTTACTTCCATGAGTGTGAAAAATACCTTCATTAAAATCATTCCATAAATTAGGGTATATTTTTACTTTAACATATACTTTTAAGTTTATGAAAATCAGATTTACAAAGACAGAAGTATTGAAGTACGCATTTAAAATTCATTTAAATATGTGCTTAACAGCCTTCAAATAAATTCTACCTACAGTGTTCTCAGAAGACTGTTTCGGTGCATACATGTATACAACAGTTGGTCTCAAGCTGTGATAGTGAAGCATCTCTTAGCTCCATTATGGAACAAACCCATTCTGGACTAACACCATTCTTTCAAAACTTTATGTAAGGATAGGGAGGTACATAAGAGCCACAAGCAATAATAGTCTAGACTTCCAGGAGGGCCAAGGAGAGAGCCTATCTTCAGCAGAACTACGAAACAGGCTATAAATAACAAGCCAAAATTTAAGAATAAAAAAATGCATTTAAGTACAAAAGAGTACCTGAACAAATGTGAGTTTGGAAAATATGGTTTAAAAACAGAAAGTGTAAAAAAGACAGGGAGTTTTGTCAAAATTTAGGCTCAAAATGAGTTAAAAAGAGTGGTACAGCCAAAAATACTAAGTGTGATCAAAGACAGCAGTAAGAGAAATATATTTCAGTTAAGGCAATTGGTATTCATACTACGGTTTGCACCAGTTGAACTACAAATATAGCATTTAATTTACAAAAGGGACCCAGAACAGTGAAGGGATTTGGATAAAGGAACAAGAGATTCATTTGACATTCAATAAACAGTTACTGAGCAATATTCCCAAGACATAACTGACAAAGATTGACAAAGTCTCAGGCTCTCATGTCCTTTGCATTACAATATGGGCATCCTTCCCTCCCCACTTCTCCTCCCAAAAAGAGAAGACTTGGGAGAATAGGAGAAAGATTTTTTAAAATGCAAAGGTAGGCAGGATAGAACAACAGAAAGAACATGGAACTTAGAGTCAGAAAACCTAAGTTCTAATTCTAACTTGGCCATCACCTCAGCCTCAATTTCCTCACCTGTAAAATACATATAAAAATGATCGCCCACCTTGTTTTGTACATGATTGTAAGAATCAAATGAATTATAAATATAAAAGCATTCTTTAAACTACAAGAGCTTATGCAGGAGGAGAATCAAATTTCTTCTGCAAGAATCCAAAGACTATAAGTTTTCCCTATAGGCAGTAGCCACAGTAGAGTTCAGCTCCATAAAATTCAGGGCTTATCTTTCAGCAGCTCCAGGTTGTCCCCTAATAGCAGAAGTATTCACATAGGGGCTTACTGGCCTCTTGGCAAAAGACCAGAAAAACATTAGTAAACTGACATACTATCTTCACAATAGTCAATGAGTCTAATATGCACTCTTACCATCTCTGGAGAATAAGCAAAATAATGATTATGTACAGCATTAAATATATGCCAGATTAATTCTTCTATATGCATGATGTAATTGATTATTTATTATAACTGACTGTTATGTCTGGGTCAATTTTTCCTAGTCCTAGTTTTCCCATCATAGGTTTGTTATGAGAATTGAAAAAGATGGTATAATTACCTAGCACAAAGCAGCTTCAAAAATATCATTTCCCTTTTCCTTTGCCACTTCTAAATTCTGTTCATGTACACCCAACTTTCATTTTGTTATTCATAGAAAAAGGATGTCTGATTAAACAAAAAGGAAATATTTTCACCAAATATTATTTTAAAAAGCAAATAACCGTTAGCACATTCAAAAGGATTCTGTTCAGAAAAATTAAGTTCTACAACTCTAGATGGAAATTATGTATTGGTTAAAAAAAAAACAGAATTGGAAGATATAGTCTTAGCAAACTAGCATTCATTCATTCAACAAATAGTACTAACTACCTATCATGTGCTAGTATTTTGTAATTAAAGGGTTTTCTTTAATCGAAGGCTCCTAAATTAGATTCACTCTACAGAATACAAAAGAAAGTCTAACCTGGATTCTGACTATAAAAAGGTCCTCCGTTCATCTGATTCTGAAGGCTTGTTTGTGAAGCTATGGAAGGAGGGCGTCTATAGGGCAACGAGCCACCTATTGTTGGAGGAGTATGACGAGAGGCAGGCCTATTCATGCTGTAGAACTGAACAGGATGACCTGGAAAAGGGACAGAACATAAATCTGTCACTAGAAGAAAATCATCTCAGATAAGGAAATACTTTATGTACAATAAATATTATTATTTAATAAGATCTAAAAATTATAAGATTATTAAAAATAATGTATAGCTAATTTAATTGCTATCTGAAAAATACAGAGCAAGGTGACAGTTATTGTTCAGCTGACATAATACCAAAGTGCAAAATCAGAAAAGTAAATAAAAACTGTAAGTTTGGAAAAGCTACATTGAAATAGATTACTGATTAACATTATATTCTTATTAAATTAATAATTTGATGGGTTTTCATAATCATCACAATTAACTAAAATGTATGCCCCCCCACCCCCCCAAAACCAGCCACTAAACAAGATAAGAATGACATCTGGAGAAGCAACAACAAAAAAAAATGTTTGACACACAGTCTTATTTCAAAATAATAAATACCAGACAGCCACCCCTCCACCAAATAATAAAAAAATAAATAATGATGATGATAATAAATTTAAGGTAGCAAAGAAATCTGTTTAAAGGAAAACAAAGTACTTCAAAAAAAGGTCAAATGACATAATTCCAAATGAAATATATCATTATTCAATCAAAATTATCCATCTATAAAGCTAGATTATTTTGTGTTAAAATTAAAGTTTAAGAAAATCACAATTATTAAAAAAGATAAGATACAAAAAGTAAAACAAATATATCTTATTTTTAATATCAACCCTGAACCTATATATATTTATCATCAATTTCACTATATTTTTGCTCTCTTGAGAGTTCTTCAATAACCAATGCCAACTGGAGACACTCTTCCATAATCCATCCAATTTCCTAATACAATCCAATTCCTAAATTTTACCTTGATTTCACTCCCACTTACAATCATTCAGCTGAGAATTTTCTTTTACAGAGCACTAGAGTACCCACAAGAGAGCACTTTAGCAGGCAAGAGAGATAGGGAGACCAAAAAAGGGAGAAGTGAGAGTGAGAAAAAAGGAAAAAGTGGGAAAAGAGGAAAAAGGGGAGAGGAGGACAGAGGAGGAGGGGAAGAAGGAGGGGGGGAGGAAAAACTGGCAAGAGAGAAAGGGAGAGAAGTGAAAAGAGAAAAAAGCACTTGACAATTTTTCATCTTATCTATTATTATAAAATGGTTTTACATGACCAAAATTGCTACTCAGGAACTCCGTAAGTTTATCAAACTTGGATTCACATGGAGTCATATAAAGAATATATTCATGATTTTCTATAGTATTTAATCTTCTTACATATGTATCAAAACCTGAAACTCACTTCTACTGTATAAAATCTTGAATATTCAAGCTTAAACATAATCATTGTCAATTGAGAAGTCTCTGTAACCATGTTAAAAATCTAAACATAAACTAACAAACTACTATTTAAAAGGCACATTTAGTCATCTGAAACACTGGATACAAATACATTATTGGCATTTGAGTAAACTAATCGATAACAAACTAACACAAACCTAGGATCATCAAGTTAAAAACATCTGACTGACATCATTATAAGTTTTATATAGTTGGATCCAGTCTAAAATCTCAAATGTTATAAGTCTACAGTGATTCAAAGATACTACACAAGGGCCGACCCGGTGGCACACTGGAGAGTGCGCCGCTTGGGAGTGTGGCGGCGCTCCCGCCAAGGGTTCGGATCCCATGTGGTGACCAGTTCCTGCTCACTGGCTGAGCGTGGCGGGGGCGCAACACTGAGGGTTGCGATCCCATTGCCGGTCCCCGGTATGGGCGCGACACCAAGGGTCGGGCGCAACACCGAGGGTTGCGATCCCATTGCCGGTCCCCGGTATGGGCGCGACACCAAGGGTCGCGATCCCGTACCGGTCAGTAAAAAAGACAAAAAGGAAAAAAAAAAAAAGATACTACACAAAAGAGACACTATTAATACTGTTAAATAAGGAATTTACTGTGAGGCTTAAAAAAAACCAGCTAATTATCATAGACTTAACTATAAAACATGAAACTAAAAACATCTAGAAGAAAACAGAGAACAAAATCTTTATGACCTTGGCTCCAGAGTTCCTAGGTATGACACTAAAAGCACAATCCATAAAAAGAAACAAAAATTGACAAATGGGATTTAATCAAAATAAAGAACTTCTGCTATTTGAAAGACACCATTAAGAAAATGAAAAGACAAGTCACGAAGTGGAAGAAAATATTTGCAACTCACATAATTGATAAAGGACTTGTATTGAGAATATAAAAGAACTCACTGATAAGAAAAAACCACCCTCTTAAAAAGGTGAGGGGGGAGCAAAACATCTGAACAGACACTTCACCAGACAAAATATACAGATGGTAAATAAGCACATGAAAAGATATTCAACACCATTAATCCTTAGAGAAATTGCAAATGAAAACTGCATGGAAACCATCACACACTTACTAGAAGGCTAAAGTTTAAAAAAAGAAAACTGACACCAAGTGCTAATAATGATGCCACTGGAAATCTCATACATTCCCGGTGGGGGTGCAAAATTGCACAGACAATTTGGAAAACAATTTGGCTGTTTCTTATAAAGTTAAACAATCATTTACAGTGCATCCCAGCAATCGCCCTAGGTATTTTTTCAAATGAAATAAAATCCTATAGACCACAGTAGTGCAGTGCTGTTACAGAGGGAGGGAACATTCCTAGGGCTACAAAGCACAGTGGTGGGGAGAGGGGGCGGGAGGTTGGGGGATAATTGGGTGAGGACATGGGATACAAAAGTAATTTCTGGCAATTTGTATCTATGAATATTCATAATAAAAAATAAATGTGAATGGGCCGGCCCGGTGGCGCACTGGATAGTGCGCCGCTTGGAAAGCGCGGCGGCACTCCCGCCCGAGGGTTCGGATCCCACATACAGACCGGTTCCCGCTCACTGGCTGAGCGAGGCACGGGAGCAACGCCGAGGGTTGCGATCCCGTTGCCGGTCCCCGGTCCGGTATGGGGGCAACACTGAGGGTTGCGATCCGTTGCCGGACACGGAAAAAGACAAAAAGACAAAACAAACAAACAAAAAAAAATGTGAAAAAAAACCCAAAAACCTATGTTTACATAAAAACCTGTGGGTGAATGTTTATGGCAGCTTTTATTCATAATCACTGAGAACTGGAAACAATCCAAACATCCTTCAACTAGAAAAGGGATAAACAGGGCCGCCCACGGCTCACTTGGGAGAGAGAGTGTGGTGCTGATAACACCAAGGCCACAGGTTCAGATCCCATATAGGGATGGCCAGTTAGCTCACCAGGTAAGCATGGTGCTGACAACACCAAGTCAAGGGTTAAGATCCCCTTACTGGTCATCTTTTAAATAGATAGATAAATGATAGAAAGAGAGAGAGAGAGAGAGAGAGAGACAGACAGACAGACAGACAGACAGGACAGATAGATAGATAGATGATAGATAGATAGATAGATAGATAGATAGATAGACAGACAGACAGACAGACAGACAGACAGACAGACAGACAGACAGACAGACAGACAAAAGAAAAGGGATAAACAAATTGTGGTACATCCATATAATAGAACACTACTCAGCAATAAAAAGAAGCAAAATATTTAAACATGCAACATCATGGACAAATCCCAAATGCATCTGGCCAAAAAACCAGACACAAAAGGCAAAACTTAAGGGACAAAGAACAGATCAAGTGGTTACCAAGGACTAGGGGTACAGAGGAAGTTTTGACTACAAAGGGTGCATGGAGAAAATCTGGGGATAATAGGCCTGTTCTACATCTCGATTATGGCAGCAGTTACAAGACTGTGTACATTTGCCAAAACTCACAGACATATACAGTAAAAAGGGTAAATTTTACTGTACATAAACTATACCTTAATAAAAAGAAAAGAAAAAACAGTAGTTAGTGACTCAAAGACACTGTATAAAGGAGATTATATTGATACGAGTTATTAAGGCATTTACCTTGCTTTTTGCTTAAAAAACTATAATTATCCACTCACATAACAAATGTTTATTTAGTAAACACTATAAGTCAGGCACCTGTTATTAAATTATCATTTGATTACTAAAATGCTGACTCTCAGTTGGGGGTGATTTGTCCTTTCTGGGCCTACATCAATTTCAAGATGCGTTCTTCACTCGTTGATACAGGAACATAACAAGATTCCTATATTTAATTAGCTAGTCTGGCCTAACAAGAGCTGTATGTAGATCAAGGAACAGCCCATGTTTACATTTACCCACCGTAGAAAGTTTTTCTAGTGTTTTGTTTGGGGTATTTTGTTGTTGTTGTTGTTATTGGCAGTTGGCTAGTAGAAAGCTTTTCTTTAAAAGAACTATTATAGAAGCTATCCCATAAAAAACCATCCAAAATACATTTTAACTAAAAGTGTCTTTTGAAACATGTAAACATATGATTATAGCAGCAAGTCTCAATACATAATTCTATGAATTACTTTATTGGCAAGCTAAATGCTAACAAAGTTGGTGTATGTCCAAACACACACATTTTTTAACAAATAAGAACCTGTTCACTAACCAGCATCACTATCAACTGTACAAATATATTTTGAAGCAATTAAGTCTTTATTCGTTCCATATCAAAACAGATTTTAGGTTGCAATTTTAAAACATTAAAATGGCAGTCAACTTAAATAAACCTAAAATAATTGTCCATTGTCTATGCATCTCTAATACTGCTATAATAAGCAAGATTGTTATAATAGACTTACAGAGGCTTGCAATTTGTTATATCAAATATTTCCTATAAAATATACCTTAAAATTGTTACTTTTATTTTGTTAATGGCTTACCCTGTATTAAATATTAACAATATTTCTAATGACAGCCTCTCAAAACTGTATAGAAGGTAGCACCAGAAATTCACAAATCTCTACTAAACAAAATTCAATCAAAAAAATGTATATTTGTGCTATCCTATTGGGAAAATGTATGAGAAACCTTACCCTATTTTTCTTAGGAAATTCTAATCTTTAGTCACATGCCACTTTCTAGTTATGATATTACAGGAGTACTTCAAAAAGTCTGTCTAAAAAATAAGAATTAAAAGATAATATTAATCTTTCCACATACTTTCTGAAGTATCCTTATATTCTTCATGTACATAGTTTTTTTAACACAAAGTACAAACCAAACAAACAAAAAAAATTATAAAGCTGGAGTTCCAGGGAAGAAAACAGCCAGAGGATTGGATCTGCCTTCCAATACGTAAGCCAATACTCACCTGTAGGGGGAGTGGAAGAAACAACAGGGGGAGTTGGAGAAGTGAAGCCATCAGCCAGGGTCTGGGCACCCCCAGCAGCAGCGTCTGGGGCAGTGGAGGAAGGGACAGTAGCAGGAGCAAGAGGGGCAGGGGCAGATGCAGAAGTAGCAGGAAGGGGAGGAGTGCCAGCAGAGCCAGCAGGGGCTAAGGGAAAAGAGGAGTAAGAGGCAGCATTAACGAGGCAGTCACATGAGGCAAGATCAGAAAAGGCATCAGAGTATTTAATGTTAGATATTCAGCACTAACCAAAAGAATAGAGAGTTGAAAAAAAAAATGAAGCTTATTTAAAGGATTATTAAGTATGCAGCAAACAATTCAAGATGCTCAGGGTAATGTACAGATTTTTTAATTCATTAAAAACAACATTCCTTTTTACCTGAAAGCCGCTACTCTGCAAGAAAAGTGCTCCCTTGGGGCCGGCCCGGTGGCGCACTGGATAGTGCGCCGCTTGGGAAGCGCGGCAGCGCTCCCGTCCGAGGGTTCGGATCCCACGTACAGACCGGCTCCCGCTCACTGGCTGAGCGAGGCACGGGAGCAACGCCGAGGCTTGCGATCCCGTTGCCGGTCCCCGGTCCGGTATGGGGGCAACACTGAGGGTTGCGATCCCGTTGCCGGTCCCCGGTCCGGTATGGGGGCAACACTGAGGGTTG